TCCTGCAAGTTAGACCAGGAAACTCGAACAAGCGTGGTAATGTATTGTGTATTCGGCAAGGCTCAAATCAAACTTGCATGTGGCGGCGGCGGGCTTCGAAACAGACGTTCTAGCGTCCACGCTCCAAAAGCCGTAAGTGACGCTGATGTCGATCGAATGTGTTGGTGCGCCGCTATCAGCTAGTATTCACTACCTTCAAGGCGCAGTCTTTAGAGGTCGTAGGTCGGAGATGCACGGCAAGTTTTCTTCTACACTCGTGTATTTATTTATTAGTTACAGCATCGAATACAAACTAGTTGACAAAACAAATAGTACGAATAAACAATGCAAAATGAAATAACGAACAACACATTCGTACAAACTCCTGCAAAACTTTTCGATTCATTACGTGGGTGAATGAAAAGCCGCGGAAGTTCGTCAGACGAAAAAGTTTGTTTTATATTCAGAAGGGAGCGCGTTCCATACCCTCAGGGAGGGGTAAGGCGGCATTCAGACATGGACCGAATGGTGGAGCTGCCGAGCTGACGATCAAGGAGAGGAGAGGGAAGCGCTAGGGAGAACAAAAAGGTGCTGCATGTTTCTCCTCCGAATCTGTTCTTAGTTTCAAAAGTTACCTGTGATGTGGCTTCCAGTCAATTTAATGCCATCCTCCACCCCCTCCCCCTTCACCGCCCAACGAAAAATAAACTCTAAGGGGAAACAGCACGTATAACAAAGCAGAGCATTCAATCACCACATGTAGAAGCATCATGAGGTTCTAAAAATTTCGAAGTGTCGAAGTGGCAATTCAGGTGGTTCGAGTGCGTTGCTCTATTGCTCCTTGGATTGCTTGATAAGGGGCGATCGAAGCGCGGATTTCTTCTAACATACGCCACGGAATTGGTGGAGTAAGTGCTCTCGATAATGAAAGTAAGAGTGAGTTAGAAAGCCAGCTAAGGGAAAGTTTAAAAAAAACCTTTGAAAAAAGAGGATGAAACACGTCGCTTCTGGACATCCATTGCCAACCCCTCGTATCGCATCGTCTACGGCCCGTGCTCCTTTTCAGCTTACTCGCAACATTTCAATCACCCCACCCTGGGTTGTGCCCCTCAAAAGTAGCATTTGTGGCAATGATAGACCACAGGCTTTCTTCTTCGTGGGAAGAGAAAATCCCATCGAATTCTTCCCAGCTTCAAAAGCTGCAAATTAAAAAACAGCGTGAGTTGGTAACTTCACGTTGTTGAAGGGACTCGACAAGGCGTCGACTATTCTTTTGCTGACGAAAAACAGCTTTTGTTTACATTTAGTGATGGCTTGTCGATAATCATGGACAAAAATCATGATGGCGATCGGGTCAAGCACAGTATGCAACGTCACCAATTGAGGAATGAACGAAAATACTCTGAAAGAAATGAAGGCCGATCGCAATCGAGATAAATTTCAAATTATTCAACCTCAAAGTTACATACCTTGGAGTAGCACTGCCGGAAACGGTGACATAAATGATTAGGAGTCGTGGAACATATGTCACCAAAAATGGGAAATAGGAGCCCTGAAAAACATCAGTAAGGTCAAATAGATTCGGGGATAAGTTCTGGCTGATAGAAGTTGTCAAGTGTGATGCCCCTTTTTAAGCAACAAAAGACAACTATAGCTTCACATGGATTCCAAAGAAAAATGAGGTGCATCTTTTGCTGTTATGAAAATCACGAGAAAAGTCCCAACATTCCGAAAACTACTTCATGACGTAGCATCATCGCTGGCCAGTCTAATGAGCTAGTTAATTGTTGTGAATGCTGGCTGTCGGAGGGTGGGAAGGGAAGGTAGGGGGACAGGCGCGTGCTGAGGGCATTGCGTCACTTTCACGAAGATGCTCTGTTTCAGGGCCAGGCCCTTAAGGGAGAAGAGGGACGTAAGCAATTTCATTCTCTGCGAATAATTCTTTCCCTTTCCGTGTACGGCTGATCCTACAAGATTATAAGTTAAGGAACATAGGATGTATACCGTAACCCACGTTTGCGTCAGAGCGCGGTTGCAGGCTTTCCAGTGCACAATGCCAGCACTAGTGTGAGAGCGGTCAACGACGCCGCCCCTGCTGTTCGGGGCAGCGAACCCAAAAATGGAGCGACGTCGCAGCGTTCGCCTCGCCGCTTGCGCGACGAAGCCGAACACCGTCGCAGCGTTGGCCTCGCCGCTTGCGCGACGAAGGCCGAACACCGTCGCAGCGTTCGCCTCGCCGCGCTTGCGCGGCGAGGCTGAACGCTGCGCGCGCTCCGCGCGCGAGCACAGGGAGGTGATCCCCGGGGTGCCGCCCCATCCGACGTGTGGCGACAGCCGCTCGCGTTGTGTCCTCCACCTTCTACATAAACGGCGCTTAGTACTCTGCGCGGGCCTGCTCGACGCATTCTCTCTTCGTTGAGAGGGTGCAGAGAAGACGAGAAAATCGATGACACGTGAGAATGCGCGCCCCAGTGCAACGTCGAGAAGGTTACGGTATACACCCTATGTTCCTGAACCTATAATCTTGTTATTCCCATTGGTATTTCACAGAGAGCCCTCTCCCTTCCCTGATGGCTCATTGCGCCGCACGCTGCTTTGAGGCTATTTTGCAATTCTAGCGAACCTAGCTTCAGAGTGTTAACGCTCTTGGGTAGTTTGAATAGTTTTTGTTTGTTTGGGCGGGTGCGAGGTTAAAGCGAGAGGTGCGGGTTCTAGTCTTGCCTGGGGGGCGGAAGTTTTTTGTTCACAAACCAGCATTTCTGTGAAGCTCTTAGGTAGGTTTCCCTTCAAACAACAATTGCGCAAGAGGTCGGACAGAAGGTTGGAAAGACACACTCTCTCAAATTGCTGCACACCGTTAGCAGGGTTAATTCGAAAATGGCTTTCTTCGTGTACAAAGTAATCGGCATATCTATAAGCGATACGAAGCACTCATTGGACCCCAGTCTGCCATTCGTAAACGTAGCGGCCTTTTGAAAGCACGCCCTTTGAATTAACACGTTGACGACATCGCGCGTTTTCGGCTTTTTTGGAGGCGTGGGACCAGAGCGATTTTGCGAGCGCCGCCGCCTCACATCAAGTTTGGATTTTGAGCTGCGAATACGCAATACTAGCCAGTTGTTCGATGTTTCTAACTTGTCGGGAGTAACAGTAATGGAAGTTTGACCAAATGACGTGTTAGGCCATGAAAAGGCAAATTTTACTTACTTTCGCTTTAGTGGATTTCAAAATTATTTTGGACGTGGTTGTTTCAGTAAAAACACATATCTTGCCATACGAATAGGTTTGTTTCACTTCTATTATTCCTTTTTTATCAACATGTTACGTTAATGAAAAGAAAACGAGGAATGAACTGAGCACACAGACATCTCCGTAAGGCCTTGAAAACTCTGCCAAATTGAAGAATTTTCGGGCCATTCTATGAGGCACGTGGTTCTTAAAGCAACAGTCCAAGAACGAATTCGCGGGCAAAAACCACCGATAATGAAGTTGTGGGTGAAAAGTTGACCAATAATGAAAGAAAAAGTAGAAAAAAACGTCGGAACAGGGCTTAGACAGGGACTCCCCCTCGCC